TATGAGGCATTATATGGTAGGCGGTGTCGGTCACCGGTTGGATGGTTTGAGCCGAGGGAGGCTCAATTATTGGGTACAGATTTAGTACAGGATGCCTCGGATAAGTTTAAGATCATTCAGGATAGACTTCGCACAGCTTAGTCCAGGCAAAAGAGTAATGTCGACCGTAAGGTTCGTGATGTGGCATTCATGGTCGGAGAGCGAGTGTTGCTTCGGGTGTCGCCCATGAAGGGCGTGATGAGATTTTGGAAGAAGGTCAAGTTAAGCCCTAGGTTTATCGGGCCTTTTGAGATTCTTGATCGAGTGGGAGAGGTGGCTCACAGACTTGCGTTGCCACCAAGCTTATCAGCGGTACATTCAGTGTTTCATATGTCCATGCTTCGGAAGTATCACGGCGATCCATCCCACGTATTAGATTTCAGCACTGTCCAGCTGGATAAGGATTTGACCTACGAGGAGGAGCCGGTAGCCATTTCAGACAGGCAGGTTCGTCAGTTGAGATCGAAGAGTTATCCTTCGGTTCGTGTGCAGTAGAGAGGTCAGCCTGTTGAGGCAGCTACCTAAGAGTCCGAGCCCGATATGCGGAGCAGATTTCCCCATCTTTTCACTAGCTCAAGTACTTTTCTATGTTCGTTCGAGGACGAACGGTTATTTTAGAGGTGGAGAATGTGATGACCCAAAAGGTCATCTCGTGTTTTAGAATCCAATTCGGGGTTCCGAGGCCTTCAAAACCTCATTTTTCCTTCGCCTCGATATGCGTGCGCAGTCCGGACATGTTTCCGGAAAGCCTTTATGTGAAAATATGAGAAAATATTAAGTTTTTCTTTAAAATTAATTTAAGTTGACTTCGGTCAATATTTTGAGTAAACGGATCCGGACCCGTACTTTGACGGTCCCGGAGGGTCCGTAGTAAGCTATGGGACGTGGGCGTATGCCCGGAATTGAATTCCGAGGTCCCTAACCCGAGAAATGAATTTTTGAAGAAAATTGTTAAACTGAAAATATAATGGTATTTAGAAATTGAATAATGATTGAACTTGTTGGTATCGGGCCCATATTTTGGTTCTGGAGCCCGGTACAGGTCCATTATAATATTTATACCTTATCAGTGAAATTTGGTGAGAAACGGGGCTAATTTGACGTGATTCAAACGACCGGTTGTGAAAATAGGAATTTCAAGTATTCTTGAGGATTTCATGTGTTTTGGTGTTAAATTCGTAGTTTTAGATGTTATTTTGGCGATTTGATCGCACGAGCAAGTCCGTATGATGTTTTTAGACTTGTGTGCATGTTTGGTTTGGAGCCCCGAGGTCTCGGGTGAGTTTCGGATAGGCTACGGGATGTTTTGGACTTAGAAAATCTGCTGTGTTGCTGCTTCTGGTATGCTGATACATTGTGCCTCGCGAACGCGAAGTGCAAGCTGGGCTGAGGAGGGATTTCTTCTACGAGAACGCGAGGCATTGGTCGCAGATACGGAGCACTGGGGGTTAGCCCTTCGCGAACGCGACCGACCTTATGCGAACGCATAGTGTAAGGGAGGTGGGTTGGGAAAAAACATCGAGTCGCTCTTCGCGAACGCGGTCCCAGGCCCGCGAACGCGATGGTCAGGGGGGACAGACCATCGCGAACACGAGCAGCTCATCGTGAACGCGAAGGCCTTTTTGGCCGTAATGCACCGCGAACGCAATGCAGACTTGTCTAGTCTTTTAAAAACAAAACCAGAATCGGGATTCTTTCAAAAACTCACAACTATTTCATAAAAACTCGACTTAGGAGCGATTTTGAAGAGGGGTTTCAACACCAATTCAAAGGTTTGTGTTATTCAACTCATTTCCTTCAATTCCATCAACACCCATTAGATATTTAGCCCTAAATCTTGTTCTTCCATGGTAGAATTAGGGATTTTAGGAAGAATTGGGGATTTTGCAAATTTGGGAATTTAGACCTCGATTTGGGGTCGGATTCCGAAACTAATTACATATTTGGGCTCGTGGGTGAATGGATAAACGGGTTTTGGTCCGAACCTCGAGTTTTGACCAAGCGGGCCCGGTGTCTGTTTTTGACTTTTTGGGGAATTGTTGGGAAACTTGTAATTTTGCATTGAAATTGATTTCTTTAACGATAATTGATATTATTAAGTTAATTATGATTAGATACGAGCGGATCAGAAGTGAAAACTAAGGGAAAAACGTTATGAGGCTTGAGTTCGACAGTGGAATCGAGGTAAGTGTTGTGGCTAACCTTAGCTTGAGGGATTGGATATTGTTACCTTATTTGCTACGTGTTTAGTTATTAAGTATGACGTATAGGTGAGGTGACAAGTATCTATACGTTGTTGTCGGGTCATAGCATGCGAGTGAGTCTTGTACTTGTGACTGTTGTATTCTTTTATACGTACTGTTCATGCTTAAACTGGTTATTCTTCATGTTAAACAAGTCTTATTATGTTTCGCTGATATTGGATATTGGTTGAGTATTGACTCAAGTTGAGATTTATATTGTGAAGTTATTTGTTGAAACGAGGTTGGTTATTGATGATTCCCTTGCTGGGTTGTTATTGTTTCTGTTGTTTGGGTGAGGAAGAGTGTAAAGCACAAAGGGTGATACCGTGCAAGATATTGTGAGTGAGTGTTAATGCACGAAGGGTGATGTCGTGTGTATTCTGATATCGATAATGCACGAAGGGTGATGCCGTGCCATGTTATGAGAGAGTTAATGCACGAAGGGTAATGCCGTGCTGTTTCTATTGTTTCTTATGGTAAGGACGAGAGTAAAAGCACGAAGGGTGATGTCGTGCCATTCTTATCTGATTTATATGGTGAGGTTGAGAGTAAAAGCACGAAGGGAGATGCCGTGCATTTTTCGTTACAGTATTTACTTGTTGTTACTGGTTCAAGGTATACTAGCTGTTTAAATTCTCTATTGTTGTGATTCTTTATTTTTGCATTCCCCTCAGCGTGTTTTCCCGTTCCCGTTATTATTATTTTCTCGTATATGATTTAACTGCATAGGTTCATGTTATTTGTCGTGTCCTAGCCTCGTCACTACTTCGCCGAGGTTAGGCTCGGCACTTACCAGTACATGGGGTCGGTTGTACTGATACTGCACTCTACACTTTCTGTGCAGATTTCGGTGCCGGACCTCGTTGATAAGAGTTGGGTTGCTGCCTTCTGTCCATCAGGAGACCCAAGGTAGATCTACTGGCATTCGCAGACCCTGGAGTCCCCTTCCCCCCTATCTTAGGTTTCTTGTTTTCTTTCATTTCGAGAACATATGTATTTTCTTTAAACCAGTATTTTTAGAAACTGTTAGAAGCTCGTGGATTGTGACGCCAGATCTTCGGGTAGTCGTGTAATAGTGTTTTAATCTGTTATAGAATTTCCGTACTTCTTATTGGTTTAGTTTAAATTATTGTTAATTACTGATTTGGTTAGTGATTGGTGTGATAGAATTGTATCTGTTGGCTTGCCTAGCATTCTAAGAGTTAGGCGCCATCACGATCCCGACGGTGGGAAATCCGGGTCGTGACATATATATAGATCCTAATAGTCTCAAACCTATAAGAGAAAGGTTTCATAATCCGAGAAGGACAATAATTTTTCCTTTCCCAAATTTATTAGAACGATGAGTTTTCCCAAACCTATAAGGATTATGAGTTTCCTAAAAACACAAGAAAATAATTCAAGACACAAATAATAATTACTAGTTAATATTTATAAGAAATTTATCTGTACATCTAATAAGTGAATTTATTGTTAAAAAAATTTCTTTCACCGTCAATGTATATAATTTAAATTGTTCGTATAATTAGCAAGTAACCATATTTACGTTACGCTAGGCTCGTAATCTTAGAACAAAGGTAGTTGATCTATATCTTCTTATACACAGAAGCAGATTTAGCTTTTGACATTGGATTCAACTAAACTCGTAACTTTCGACACAAAACATAAATTTATGTGTAAAAATTCATTAAAATTGCAACAAATAGTAAATTTGAATCTACGATTTTAAAAATATAATGGGTTCAATGGTAAAAACCTTAAAGGCTTAACCTAGGGGTGGCAAATAAGGGGGTCGGGTCGGATATGGGTGAGTCGAAAATGGGCAATTCAAAAATGGATAAATTATCCGACCCAACCCATATTTAATATGGATAAAAAATGGGTTAACAGGCGGATAATATGATATCCGTGGCATCTTGAATATGATCACTTTTGAGAGAATTCCTAGTCTCCTAAACTTGAGGAACCCCCAATTTGAGGATTTACAAATGGAAAAGTTAAACCCCATTAGCTATCCATTAGTTATCCATTTTCTAAGTGGATAATATGGTTCTTATCCATATTTGACCCGCTTTAAAAAAAGTTTATTATCCAACTCATTTTTTAATGGACAATATGGGTGGATAACTGTTTTATTTTATACATTTTGTCATACTAGCTAAATGCATAGAATTCATATTCTGAATCCGTTTCTGCTTGTACAGTTCACAAGATTCCACTTCATGAAGCGTTTTGTTTGCTGTCTTATTAATTTCCCTTTTCCTTAGCCTCTTACCTTTTAACTTGTGTTGTTCTATCAAATTATAGGACTAAAGACTCATCATTGTTCTCAAACAAACAATTTGAAGGTGACAAAATAATGGATCCTTGGCCAGCTAGTTAACCCAATGCTCTTCCATCCCCTCATGGACAAAGCCTTTTGAGCCTTCTTTTTATATCCAGAGGTCATTGATTTGGGTCAAATTTTGGAACCATTTAAGCTAACATCAGCTTGTGTTCGGTTAGAAATATTCAGAGCTCTTTATCCTCATGTGTGTCCTCTCGTAATATTAAATAGATTAAATTCAAATTTACATAAACGGTTAATTAATTTAATGTTCCAAAAAGAAAGGCCACTGGCACAGCAGCACGAATTCATAAGGGAAAAAAAAAAAAAGGAAATTTAAAACATTTGTACAACTTTCGTAATGATATCATGTGGAAAACCACAGTATTTTCATTCATGTCAAATTTAACAGTTGCAAATTTACATATGAAAACTAATTTCAGTTTCAAATGGTATCCTATCATAACTCCACAAATTATTTATCAGGATAGTTTCCTTCCCTAAAATAATCACTATATTATAAATATTTTAGCAATATGTCAGGAAAATTAGCAAGGTGGCATGTCCTGAGGAGGAGAGAAAATGCGTTGTTCTGGCCTGTGTCCATTTTTCACTATAAACACTGTCTGCATCCCCCATGTAAGATGGCGCTCAATATGGCAATGCATAATCCAAACTCCTAAAACATTAAGAAATAAAAAACAAAGGGTTTACATAATATAAGTTCCACAATGAATAAAAGAAATTTAACTTATCTACACTGGTTGTGTGTAAACAATTTTTACATTTAGTGTAATTTAACGTGTTCTGAAGATTGTCTATCTTATTTTTCAAGAAACTAGTTTCTCTTATTATCGACAATTCGTTAAGCCTGTGGTTATATTTTAGGTGACCTGATATCAGCGTATAAAAATAAGCTCTAAATAAAAATAATAATGCAAGTATGCGTTATGAGGAAGACTTACCCGGGTTATCTGCCCTGAATCTAATGGCAATCCAACCATTTCTAGGGATAGCAACGGTGTTTCTTCGAGGAGGATCAACAAGATTATAGTTCTGAGGATCCTGTTTTTCGTTAAAATTTCCCAATCCCCAACCAACAACGTAAAAATTGTACCCATGAAGATGCATTGGATGGTCTAAGCCAGTGACCAAATTAGTCCCCTGCAGTACCAACTCAACTGTTGTATTATACTCCAACACTTTCACTTGTGTCCCGAATTCAGGTAACTCGAGTTCTAAAGGCAGGATATCAGCAGTGTAATTAAATACATATGGTGGAAAACTAGGAAATTCGGTCCCAAACACACCCTTAATGTGATAATAATAGGCCTCTAGTATGTTATATGTTGGTGTCAAAAAACTTATGTTGTTCATACTAGCCGATAATCGTGTCCCGTTTGGTCCTTGGCATGTTGTAACATTTGTACCGTTTATAGGACAAGGCAATAAGTTAATTGAAACAGTTGAAACCAACCTTGTTTTCACTTTAAGTGGGACGGATATCGGATGGTGTTTAGAAGCTAAACTTCTTAGGTTGCCACTGAAATCAACAGCTGCAGGTGTGTTACCATAAGAAGGTAAATAAGGCAGTGAAAGAGGTGAAGAAATCAAGTAATTTCCTTCATATTTTACAATGGCTGTGGTTGTTGTGTTATCAAATTGGACATTAGTCCCATTAGTATATGCTCTAGCAGCCATATAGTAAAAATTAGGTTCTTGATTGGCTTTAAACAGGCAGTCAAGTGTCTGTCCAGGACTTATCGCGATATAATCCCTTGTCAATGGCTTTGTGTAGCTTCCATCTGTTCCAACCACTGTTAATTTGTGCTTTGCAATCGCGAAAAAGAGAATTTCATTCATTGCAGCATTAAGAATTCTTAGCAGATAAGTCTTCCCAGACTTAATTTCTAGCTTGAAAGTTCCTGCTCAAACATGAAAAGAAAAGAATGGAAAATAATGAATGGTGTAAAGTTTTGGAATTAACTTATTTATGTGTATAATATAAAAGATTTTTAACTACGTCGTACTTATATTTTAACCTGATTACCATGCAACAAGCCTTTTTTTTTAATTACTAATCCCACTTTTTATGAACGATTACTTGCCGGTACTGATCATTTAGGTGATCTGATAGTAGTATTTAAAAGAAATTATGCCAGAAGCTAAACTCTAAGTTTTTATTAGATGCATGTAACAATTAAATAGTATGGGATAAATATTCAAAGGTGTTACTATCATGAAGCCAATAAAAGGAAAAGATGAGTATTTCAATGCAAAGAATAATCCTATAGCCAAAGTTTGTTAAATTTTCTTATTTTAGTATATAAGCAATATTAATGTAGAAACTTGTAAAGATCAATGTCAATAACTTTGTGATAGCAATGGGGTACCTACCATGTTTTGAACATGGATAAAAATCACCAGGCTGACCATTAATCATAAAAGCATCAGAATTCCTAGGCTGACCTCCTGAGGCAGTAAATTCCTTTAAAACCTCCACAACACTGTCCTTCCACCACTCACCTGAGAATCAAATTAAAGAACAAGAAACTTAGTTAAATTTGTGAAAATGAAAAATAAATTTATGTGTAATTCCATTAAGGAACATTTATAATTGTACCTAAAATAATTGGTATTTCAGCATGAGGCTTGGGAAACGAATAACTAGTACCGGGCTTCGGGTAAACAACAATGGCGCCATGAACTGTGGCACGCGCCCAAGCACTATGCGCGTGCCACCAAATAGTACCTTCTTCATCAGAAAGTACTATTTTTTGTCTGAATTTAGAGCCCGGTTGGATTGGACACTGGGTGATGTATTCAGGACCATCTGACCAGGGATTCCGCGGTTGTTTCACTCCATGCCTGGTATATATATTTTGAAAGTAAAATCACCAAAGGTTGAAAAGAACAAAATTAAAAAGGTATATAGGGTGCACCAAAGTAAAAAATAAAAAGAAAACTGGAATATATTTACCAGTGAATAGTGAGGTTGTACTTCCCTTTGTTATAGACATCAACAATAAGAGTAGATCCTTTGTGAGCATAAAGGGTCGGCCCTGGAAACTTGCCATTCACAGTTAGAATTTCCTTTGATTTGCACAGCCTTTCGAACGAAGCTTCTTTAACCTACCATGCCATACAACGTTAATTAATAATTAATTCACATAAGGATTATTAATTACTAATCGAGAAGCTGATAATAATATGTGCTTACGATGAAATGGTAGTGGTTAGCAAAAGCTACGTAATGGAGGAGGGTGGCAACAACTATGAGACTCAAAGTGTGTGTTCTCATGACAACTTCTCCAGCCATCGTCTTAGAAGATAATTTTTAATCCTTGTTTTTGTCTTTAAACCTCTTAACTCTGCTCTGTAAAGAGTTTCTCTCTTTCTCACCGAATTTATAATGGTATGGCAGAATAAAGAACTAACAGTAGACAACAACACAATTAAATGCTGCGCAGTAGAAATAGTCTTAATTTTTTTCAGAAATAGTACTATCAAGAAAATGTTAAGAGCTTTAATTGCGTAGATGGATTATTAAGAGAGAAAGAAGGAAATTTATGTTGGGTTTTTAAGCTATTAATGCTTAAAATAGGGTGAATGGGAAATTGAGGGAAAAATAAAATATTTGAGTTTCCCTCCTTGATTGTCTCATATGAGAAGAGGAAAAGGTTTTTGATGGGTATATAAGCAATTGCTCTTCTTCTAGCTCATAAAGAGTTGAGAAGAAGGCAAGCCTCGCGCCGTCGTTGTCGATTGATTAATTTTTGGACCAAATTTATTTGTTAATAGTAAATATTAACAGAAATGTTATTAAATATTTTGTTATTATCAAATTTATTTGTTAATAGTAAATATTAACAGAAATGTGATTAAATATTTGGTTTAATAATAAAATATTAATATTAAAATAAATATTAATATTAAATCCAATTCAGTTATCCAATTTTCAGTTTTCTGTTTTTGTAACAGAAAATTAACTACCCTTCAATTTTCCCTCTTTATTGTTGAGTAAATAGCCATTTATGTTATGGCATTTATTCTTTGGCCATTTTGCAAAAACAGCCATTCTGAAGAGTTGCACCTCTTCAGATTTCAGCCCAACTTTAGCTATAAATACAAGTTCATTTTCTCAGATTTTTCATACGAATTTTCTGAGTTCTTCTCCTTTCTTCTGCATATTTTAACTTCAAAGAAAGCAACAGTAAGTGTGATTTGCTACCGAACTTTGTGTTCGCTGAAACACTAGGGCTTGAAGTACCACTACACCAGTATGTAATTCGTTCTATCTTGGGAGGAATTAATTCATAACCTTGGGTACTAGGAGTGGATTAAATTCCTTAAGGAAACATTGTGAATTCAGTGGGCTCGAATTGGTTTTTTTTTATTATTTCGTTTACATTTCTGATTATGTTATTTTATTTTCTCCAGAATTGTTTTACAAATATAGATTACTAACAAGCTTAAGGAATTTAATATATTTTTTGTATTTGTGTTATACTCACTATTTCTGGAGAGTAAAACCTTTGTGGTTTTGTACTCTATTTGAGATTAAAATCTACGTGATTTTAATGTTTGTGTCATTCTTTTACAGAAATGACGAATGACAACCGAAACCAAGTTGTTCCGATGGTAACTGCCAATGCCTCAACGAGCCGAACAACACCGGCAGCATTGGCACCGGCGGAGAAACCCGGAAAATTTTCCAAGATTGATTTCAAGCGCTGGCAACAAAAGATGTTCTTCTACTTGACTACTCTAAGTCTCCAGAAGTTCATCAAGGAAGATGTTCTTGTGCTGTCCGATGAAACTCCAGAGACTGAACGCTTTCTCGTGATTGAGGCATGGAAGCATTCAGATTTTTTGTGCAAGAATTATATTCTAAGCGGGCTGGAGGATGCTTTGTATAACATCTACAGTAGCGTGGAAACGTTAAAAGAACTGTGGATTGCACTTGAAAAGAAATACAAAACTGAAGATGCTGGGTTGAAAAGTTCGTTGCTGCAAAGTTTTTGGACTACAAAATGATAGATAGCAAGCCTTTTATTACCCAAGTCCAGGAATTGCAAGTGATTTTTCACAATCTCCTTGCTGAAGGTATAAGTAGAATTAATACTAGTGTTGCTAGTATTAATTTTATTATGTTACTAACAGAATTTTTATTGAAGGTCTTGTCATCAATGAAGCATTCCAAGTAACAGCGATAATTGAGAAGTTGCCTCCGTTGTGGAGGGACTTCAAAAATTATTTGAAACACAAACGCAAGGAGATGTCCCTTGAAAGATCTCATTGTTCAGTTGAGAATCGAAGAGGACAATAAAGTTGCTGACAAGAGAGGCCGTGGAAACTCAACAATAATGGGAGCAAATATTGTTGAAGAGAACAAAAAAAGGAAGAAGGCTTCTAGACCGAAATACAACCCAAGCAAGAAGCGGTTCAATGGAAATTGCTACAACTGTGGAAAAGTCGAACACAAATCTACGGAGTGTCGTGCTCCGAAGAAAGACAAGAAGAAGGGTCAAGCAAACATGATTGAAAAGCATGATGATGTTGATGACTTGTGTGCCATGCTTTCCGAATGCAATGTGGTAGGCAATCCTAAAGAGTGGTGGATTGATTCTGGAGCCACTTGCCATGTTTGTGCTGTTAGAGAAGCTTTTGCTGCTTATGCTCCTGTTGGACCCGATGAGACACTTTCTATGGGAAATGCTGCAAAGGCCAAGATTGAAGGATATGGGAAGATATTTCTCAAAATGACTTCCGGCAAAGTGTTAAGAATGGTTTTAAATGTGTATTTTGTATCCGATAAGGTTGTAATAAGTAAAAACGAGATGTTTGTAGGAAAAGGTTACCTCACCGAGGGCCTTTTCAAACTGAATGTAATGGTTGTTGAAAATAATAATAAAATTTCAGTTTCGTCTTACTTACTTGAGTCAAATGAATTATGGCATATACTTTTGGGTCATGTCAATTATAAAACCTTGCGGAAAATGGTTAATTTGGAAGTATTGCCTAAGTTTGAATGCGAATAAATCAAAATGTCAAATATGTGTGGAATCTAAGTATGTTAAACATCCTTATAAGTCAGTTGAAAGGAATTCAGATCCTTTAGACTTAATTCACGCAGATATTTGTGACATGAAGTCAATACGATCTCGCGGTAGAAAGAAGTATTTCATAACCTTTATTGACGATAGTACTCGATATTGCTATGCGATGGGCTTAAGGTCTTTTAATCTATATTTTGATGATCTAACAAACTTTCTATATAGAACCAAATAAAAGACCAAGAATGATAGTAAAAGTCAGGGGGAACATATGGGGGAACATGTGTAAGTAAGGGCATAAAGTTAGGGGGAACCTGTGGTCTCCTGTTATTCAATCTGGTTCTCTGAGCTCTAACTCCTTGTTTTCAATGCTAAGTTTGTCATCATCAAAAAGGGGAAAATTGATAGGTTTTCAATATCTTTGCCTTGTGTTTTGATGATCTAACAAACTTAATGTCAAGAACCAGATAGGGAACCTGACTCACTTGGATTACAATGCATCTGTGAACTTGCTTCAGCTTCAGGAGGTAGGAACCCAAACAAGGACCTGATACTCTGTCTTGTGTTTTGATGATCTAACAAACTTAATGTCAAGAACCAGATAGGGAACCTGACTCACTTGGATTACACTGCATCTAACGGATTCCAGCCAAATGTGAACTTGCTTCAGCTTCAGGAAGTAGGAACCCAAACAAGGACCTGATACTCTTGTGGGTTCCTCACGGCAGTACAAAGTCAATTGGACGTAACTGGAAATGAAGATTCTGCCGCACTGCACTGTTTCCAGAGCCCACTCATTCTCTGACCAACTAAAGTGCTCACATCACTTCAAGTGATGTGATCAAGGTTTACCTATAATGAGTTTATACAAAACATCATTCAAGTTACTCAACTCAAGACAATTTGGGCAGGGTGCACAAGAACCAGATTAGGAACCTGATCCCTTGTTGCTCCCCTGACAGAAGTACAATTCAACTATACAACTGGAACGCAACTGCAGAAAGTGACTGTCTGCAACCGTACAAAGAAGAACACAACAGGGACCTGGTCCCTTAGGGTTCTCTGACAGAAGTACAAGTCAACTACAGTTGGAAAGCAACTGCAGAAAGTGACTGCCTGCAATAGTGCAGCAGACAGAGTAGCAGTCACTTCCCATTGAGATTGGACATCACTAAGGATGTCTTGTGAAGTATAAACCTTATGCAAGGCACAAGATTCAGGTCCAACACTTGCAAATACAGAAAACAAAAATTTTCTCAAGTGCTCAAGAACCTCTCTCAAGAACAAAACTACTGCAACCTCAAGGACCTGATCCAAGATTGATGATATCTTAAGTCCTTAGGGATGTTGAGTCTTTGTTATGTGTTTTTCATTGTAACTCCTATCCGTCTTTCTTAGAAGCGTTGATTAGGAAACCTCTGTAAAACCGTAAACTCCCTGAGTTTATGTTGTGGCTAGGATAAGTCATAAGCAAAAGCCTTTGTGACCGTAGTGTGACAAAGTGGTTTGTGGTGGAAACATCACAAGTTAGTCAAAAGTCTTTGTAACTAGGATAGTTATAGAGTGGCTTGTGATGAGAGCATCACAAGTTAGTTGAAGTCTTTGAAATAGGGTTATTGTAAAGTGGCTTGTAATAGGGAGATTGCAAGTTAGTGAAGTTAAAAGCCTACAGGTGTAGGTCGTAATTTTTTGATCCCCTTGTGTGGGATTTTTCCACGTAAAAATCCTCTGCCTTATTTACATATAACTTTACTAGCATTCACAGCAGAATCCCATAAAGGACCAGGTACTCTACTAATTGGTGGACTCATACAAACTTAGCACTGTTCCAAACTGATATAGGACTAGATCGCTATATAGTTTGGTTCATCAGTATTTTCAGAGGAAACATATAGAGAACCCGGCTCTCTATACAGTCTGGTGGACGCACAGTTTCTAACAAGTGGTATCAGAGCGGGTTCCTCCTATCAGGCTAACACCTAGGAAGAATCCTCATGGCTGCTCCACCAACTTTTGAAAGGAGAGAACCAAAGAAGGAAAAGTACTTGGTACTTAAAGCTGATGATAACGATTCGAGTGAGGAAGACAGTGACATGCCTTAATTAACCAAAAGGTTTCAGAAGATGGTCAGAAGAAATAGAGAAGTGCTAAAAAGGGACAGCTCTAACAGATCAAAGAATTATGATCTTTGTTACAAGTGTGGAAAGGCTGGAAACTTCATGAAAAATTATCCTCTCTTGAAGCAAGAATTCTCCAAGAACTTCAAGAGAAGAAGATCAACTGACAATATTATGAGACAT